TGAACTCCCAAAAAATATAGTGAATATATAGGAACCTATTGCTGGGTAAGTAAACAAATTTTCTTTCACAAATAAGTTATTTTGAATTATAGAGATCCTTCTGATGACTAGATTATAATTTCTTTTTAAAATGGCTGCTAGAAACGCCTACTTGGTCAATCGAGTGCTAAACAACATAGTGAATATTTAAAGTTGAGAAATACTTGTCTACAAAATATTTTCCTAGAACTACTATTAAGCATGTAAATTAACTTAAATTTTTAATTGTCTATAGAAAAAGAGAGCTTTGGTGCCAAAAAATTAGAATTAAGGAATCAAAATATATTTTTGTAGCATTACATTTGCTTCTAGATATTAACTGGAACATGCTATGTTCCAATAAAAATGTGAACGTCTGTTCCTGTGTTGGAACACTACTGTGGGAAGTGAACAGTCTAGCTACTCTAAATTATTGATAATAAGTAAGCACCAGCGTGAAACTTCTTCCAAAGCGACTGCTGGGTCACACCTGCCAATCTAGGACAAAAGGTAAATAGAGAAGTAAGTAGATTTAAAAGCCTCTCTTCCCTTTTGGGAGGCATCAGGACACCAAAATCAAGTATTTCCAAAAAGTACTTCCAGAACACATCAATTTCAGTTCTCCCATATTACAAAAGGCTGGCAAGAACAACAAAAAAATAAATTACAAGAGAAAAATAAAAAATAAGTACAACGAAAAGAAACAGTAGAGTGGCTAAGAGGAGAGGATAGGTAAGGAGGATCTCTTTGGGAAAATTCATAGGATTATTACTAATTCTTTCTAAATTAAACCCAGGGCCAAAAACACTTTATGTGGAATGTGAACAATTCTTTGATAAACTTTAAGGTTGTTGGATAACTTGTAGAAACCATCAATACCTTTTCATTTTAAGAGGCAGAGCAGTCAAGATTACATAGCAACTTTGTGTTGTGAAATGGTAATCCTAAACAACTTTCTTAAATTCAGAGTTTGGCAAAGGTCCTAGTCATCAAATAAACACTGTGACCAGCTTTACTTCTGAATAACGTGGACTCATTCTCTATGGCAAAGTTTTTATAAATTTAGACCAAAGTGAATTGAGAGTTAATTCTAACCTTATCATTTCTAGATAAAACATTGGTATGAAGCCAGTAAAAAAAATATTAGCATGTATGCTTCTCAAGTTATTTAGTTTAGGAAATATTTATATTCTTAGTCAAAAAATTAGAGTTTTAAAGTCAAAATAGGCTCAACATTGTCAAAATGCAAAATGCAAGGACTACAAACAATTTAACACTTTCCACCCACAGAAATAACACTTCAAGTGAGCTCAGCTCACTTAATTTTTCAAACCATTTCTCTTCTCAGGTTTATAACTGTTCAACACATTGCTCAAATGCTCAACATTATCTATCTTAAAAGTGAAGACACGAAACAGTGCGGCAAACACTGCACAGTGACTGAATCTGACGAGGGTGGAATGTACAACCAACGTTTCAGAGCTGGAAGGGACCTACAAGATCCAATCCAGCACCCAGATTTTACAGATGGGGAAACTGCGGAGCGAACACGTCAAAGGACAACCCAAGCCACATTCCTTGGCTGAGCTATTCATTCATTTGGTCTTTCATTCATTAGCAACAGCCTAACTGCCAGGCTGCTGGGGGCTAAAAACAAGCTAGAAGGCAGCATTCACCAACACCAAGGTGGGCCTTTTTTCCTTGTGTTCTTAAGATAAATCCTTAGATTTCCTGATCAGCAAGAACTCTTATAGAAAAAGAGTTCCACAGTCTTTGTAGAACCTGGCCCACTTTCAGTTTCACACATTTCAATAAACACAGTTAGAACTTCAGAGGGGCCTCCATTGTGTTGACTTTAAATGATTAAGCATTAACAAAGGGAGGCACAGTGTTCTGAATGAGTCCCTACCTAGTACATTCATAACTTAAGGAAGTGCAATCGGAAATGCCCTACACACAAGCAGAGAGGAGAGCTTACAAAATCAGAGCAATCTGAGGTATTCACATATAGGAGTAAAGATCAGCTAAGTCCAACAGCTCAAGTTTACCAAGTGTGGAATGTAAATAGCTCCCCATTTCATTCAGATGTGGGTAGTTCTCTGAGATGCCTGTATTTTAAAAAGACCCCCAAACTCACATGCAAAAAAATGCCCTCTTCCAGTGACACATATATCTAAGCCAAGCCTTTCTCCTTAAGAACTTGACTTTCTACTTAATTAAAGAAAAATTAGATTAAAAATAAAATCAAAATCTTAATGTGCTGGCTAAAAGAAACTCAAGTTCTATGTCATCAAAACAGAACAGCTCAAACTGCACATCTATGGGTTTTGCTTTAAAAAAAAAATGAGATGTGCAGTGAAACTTACCCATCAATATAAATCATATCTCATTTCATTTGGACTTTTACATTCTTTAATATTAAGTCTGGCACTTAAATGCTTTGTGTATCTCAATTCACAGTCGACTTCTTTAAGAAGTAAGAGAATACACTGACAAAGCTCTTAAACAGAACAACCCATAAGGCACTTTGAAATATTAAACAGCAGCACTCTGTGCACCCAGTTTTGGCGTAATATACCAAAATGTGCCATAGCTCTCCAGTGCTCTCACAGATGACCGCTGGGCGACTTCAGATAAAATACAATCTTCACTGAGGCTCCTGGAAGGTTCTCTGACTTTCTTGAAGTTATTTGTCAGCTCACGATGAAAGTGCTGTTGTGCTCTTTTATTTCTCAAAACTCCAGAACTGATTTTTATCTGCAGCATCACAACTTCTCATCTGCACATCAGGGCGGCCCTCAGGTGTCCGATAAGCACTAAGGCACAGTCCCGAGTGTGGATGAAAAATGGTTCCATCTTCTTTAAAATGCCAAATGATGTTTGCTGGAATAGGGAATCCATCCTTAGGACAATTCTGCATTCCTACATGATTTTTTTTCTCAGGGACCTCAGCACACAACTCCGTCACAGAATTAAACCGTATTTCTTTGTTTGAAGTATACTCAAAGAATTGATTCCCTCCTTGGCCATGGCACCCGAACAGCGAAAGGTTAGCACCCGTGGGGTTGTTATCCGGAGAATTGTAATCTAAGCATTCAGAAGAGATCCCCTTACTGCGGATAGCACCATGCCAGCCTGGCCTATCCTCTGGGACGTGTAAACTAGAAAACACGTTTTTCAAATACCAGTCGAAGCTCTTGCATTTCAGCCGCTCTCGCAGCAGTTTTCTCTCAGAAATATCACCGTAATCTTCTTTTCTTGCCGGAGGGTTTCGGTTGTAGAAATGCTCTTTGTAGTCGTCCATCCACACTTCAGCTGCACGAGCAGTATTCTGCAGGAAGTTGGGGCGCGCGTAAGGGGCCCGCTTGGGGAACACATGGCCCACGTGAGAACACGGGTGGATCTCCAGTTTACCCCCACACTGCCATACCCTGAAAGACAGTTCCAGGTTTTCACCACCCCACACTTCCATCCCAGTGTCATATGTTCCAAGGTACTGAAAATATTTTTTGCTCACAGCAAACAGCCCTCCAGCCATGGTTGGAGATCTGATGGGGTCAATTCTGGATTTCCGCCTGTCCCTTTCATGTTTGGGGACAGAATGCCACTGAAACGTTAAACGCCAGTCAAACCCACCAATCATGGGCTCCCCAGTCTGCATATAGAATTCAAAGGTATTCCAATCGATGGTGTCTATCACAGGACAAACAACGGCTGTTTCATCTCTCTCGATCCTCTCCAGAAGCGGCTCCAGCCAACCAGAATTACACTCACAGTGGCAATCCAGGAAAGTGAGGACATCCCCAGTGGCAAAAGTGGCCCCGATGAGGCGGGCCCTCACCAGTCCCTCCCGTTTTTTGGTCCTAATCAGGCGGACCCTATCAAGATTGCTGATGTAAGTTTCAAGTTGGGTCTTCAAATAAGCTCTGTCACTCAAGTCATCGACCAGGATGATCTCCTTGAGCAGGACTGCGGGAGAAGTTTCGAGAACACTGTGGATGGTGCGGAGCAAGGTGGACCAGGCTTCGTTATAGAAGGCGATGATGACAGAGGTGGTGGGCAGTCTCCTGTAGTTGAACGTCTTGGACTTACACTCATACATTCTTTTATCCTCTATGTGGCGGTGCAGAGAAATCCTGTCACTGAGGTAAATATTGATGGCATATCTCTCAATGAGCTCTTCTTGCTGCTTCAGTTCCCCCTCGCTGAGCTGCAGCTTGCTGGCTTTCCCCCACTCCCCGAGGGCTTGGGAATCTGCCGGGGGCTTCTCATACAGCGGGCGCGACAAATCCTCGGCGTTTCTCTCCAGATCTGCGAATCGCCTGGACGTCCGCCCCTCCCTGGCATGGCCGGCACTGGGGGACGACTGGAAAGCCGAGACCGAGAGCTCCACGAGGATATAGGCCGCCGTTAAGAGCGCCAGCAGCAGGCAGCTCTTGCCTGCCCAGGTCCACCGCACGGCCATCCGGATCCTCATGGCTGGGGCTCAGCGGCCGCCACCTCGCCACCTCGCAGGGGCAGCCTGGAAGGTGAACTTCCCGGCAGGTCCCTGCCTTCAGGCAGGCGCTCGGCTCTTCGGCAGCTCCTCACAGCCCCTCGGGCTCCCCGGAGGGCACCTGAGATCCCCCTCGGACGCGCTCTGCCCACTTCCTGCTGCTCTTCGCAGAACTTTTCACAAACTCTCCAGCCAACACCCCACCCTCCGCGGGCCGAGGACAAACCCCTCCCCTTCCTACTCACTCCTCCTGGCGGTTACTTGGCGAAAGGCGCCCGCCAAGCCCGCGCCGGTGGGCGGCTCTGGGTCTGGGTCGGGGCCGGGGCCGGGGGCCGGGGGCCGGGTGGCCCGGCCGGGCACCGCCGCCCTCCACCCCCCACCCCGATGAGGACCTCCGAGGCTCTCGTGGGAGCCCGGGACAGGAGGAAAGGTCTCCGGCCACCTGAGCTTCTGTCTCCTTACACAAGATAAAAACAGTGACACCTACCAAGTTGTTTGCCGTTAGGGCTGAAGCCCACGGAGGTGATCGCCGCTTTGTGGCCTTTAAAGTAACGCTCCAGAACGGGGTCCTCCTGCGAAGGAAAGTTGTCGACGGTTCAAACCAGATGTGGACCCCGCGTGCAGCGGCTGGGGGTCGACGGTCCACACAGCCGCAACGCCAGGAACCTGCCCCCATCGCGGGCTTGGGGTTGCGGGGCGGCAGCAGCGCCCCGCGGGGAGACGCCGGGCGCCAGCTCGTCCCGCAGCGCCGGGAAAATCGTGCAATCCCGCTTCCCAGATCCCCCCCCCTTTAAGCGACGCCCTGAGAGTGGGAGTGGGCTCTATCTGAACATGCAGGATCTCGCGCGCCGCGGCTCCAGTCCGCAGGTGCTAAGGAGCGCCCCGGGCCTATAGCATCTTCTTTTTGAAACGAGAAAGTCAAACACGAAATAAAGAAACGTCCCAGGTGATTCTGACGCAGGCGCTCCACGGAGCCCCTCAGAGAATTCTGGGGGTCATGGGGTCGCTTACGCTCCTTCTCGAGTTCTGGGACGCGCAGAGGAGCGTCGCGGAGCCCGACACGGGCTTGGCGCTCCGGCCGCCCGGTTCACAGTGGGAGAGGCGGACGCCCCCCAGGCCAGGGGCGGGGGGCAGCACCTCAGGACCCCGCTGCCGACACCTGCTTCCATCTCCTCCAGGTGCCGCCGCGACCCTGCCCCGGCCCCCCAACCCGCGGGACCAGCCCCGGCCAGGGCCCCCCACAGCCCGTCCTTACCGGGGAGGAGGCCATGGGGGAACGGTGGGCGCCGGGCTCCTGCGGGCGGGGGGAAACGGGGGCGGGAGGGAGGAGGGAAGGGGAGAGGGTGAAAAGGGGAACCGCGAGGCGCCCGGAACCGTCTGCTCGGAGCGGCAGCACCTCCCGGTCACTACAACAACGGCGGCCCAGTCAAACCCCGCGCTCCAGGCATGGCCAGCCGAGCCTCGAGACTCCGAGGCCGGAGCGGGGGTCGGGGGCGGAGGGGTCGCTGCCAGCGACTGCGCGGGACGCTCCGGGGCCAAGTGCGACGGTACACCTAAGCCACTGTTTACTAATGCTGGCGTTCCCTTTCGGTTTGACGCCTGGAAAGAGAAGGAAGTGGGGAGCGAGGGCATTGTAGGCCTGTGATCGATGCAATCGGAGTTCTATTACATGTTAAAGAGCCAGCGCTCGTTGGTTTCAAGTTTGTCCCCGGTAATTTATCACGGGAGAGGGGGCGTGGCGTAGGGCGGTGGAGTTTTGATGTGAAGAGGAACAGCTGGCTACTTCTCAATACATTCAAAGGAACTAAAATCCTGGAGGACAGATTTGAATTTGTTTAATCTCTTTACCAAACAGTGCCCCGCATGATAATAATGCTGCACACTGGAGATGAATGGACGAATAAACCGCATCTCCTTAACCTTTTGGGCTGTATGTTTCTTTATCTGCTTCTTTGCGTATGCTTTCCAGGAATGCATTTACCAGCAGCGCATTTAAAATCTTTAGGAAGACTTGGAAACATGTTTTAACGTATTAGCTCAAATGGTAACTGTAACTATTTATACAACAGGGTTTCAATGCACATAGTATCATTTCTGGTTCAGTAACACTGTAGAAGTTGGAAGAGTTATAATGTTCCCAAATGATAAACTTGATTCTTAGATCCTGATCTTAGAAGTCATGCAGAGACCGCTTTTTCAATTCTAAAAATATCTTGTTTTTTTTTTTTTTAATCCTGAAATTACATACACAATAAAGTTTCTTGGCAATGTAAAATGGGATAGGCCACAGCTGGTAAGATACACGTTCTATGTAAATGAGAGGTATACTACCACCTTAATTACAGGTTCTCTAGTTGTCTAGAGATTGCATTTAGCTTTAATAAGTTCTGCAGATAACAATTTAACGGGTAAGAAATAGCTTTAGATTGCAGTGTTACTTTAATTCAAGTATATGATTGTTGAATTTCTCCTGTATGTTTGGCCCTGAGGGATATAAAGATGATTGAAATGTTTTTCCTGCCTTCAAGGACTCAACCATCTAGATTGATATGGCTAATATTTTAGCATGTGTAATGTTGATTTAGCGGCTCAATTCGCAGAGATGCTGAAGCAACATGCTCGTAAATAGGGTGGGATCCACGGTTCTACGGATTAACAAGCTCCGTACACGATTGCTATGGGAGTCTCAGCTGTGTACATTGAGAAACATTGCTGTAGTCCAGGGGGTGATATATTTAACAGTGTTGATGCCAGCAATTTGTCAACAAACTCTGGCAAGACTCCAAGTTTTGCTCCTTATTCCCAGTCTAAGTTTGATTAAACACACACACACAATCCTGGCATGCTTAAGCATAATACTGGATGCTGGTAGGAATGTAAAATGGTGCACTGTGGCTCCAGCAAGTCTACAGCTAGGTATAGCCCACAAATACTGAAAGCAAGGACTCAGATGTTTGTATTACATTAGTAACAGCCCCAAAGTGAAAACAGCCCAAGTATTCAACAAAGGAATAGATAAAATATGATAACTACATTCAATGAGATATTATTCAGCCACTAAAATAATGAAATTCTGATGCATGCTGCAACATAGATGACCCTTGAAGACATTATGCCAAGGGAATACATTATGGTTGATGACTTTACTTCTTTAAAGTACCTAGAATGGGTGGATGTACAGAGACAGAAAGGAGCTGCGGCTAAGGGAGAATGGGGAGTTACTGACTGATGAGGGGTGCAGAGTTTCTGCTGGGGATGAAGTTCTGAAAATAGTGGTGATGGTTGCACGGCACTGTGAATGTGCTCAACGCCGGTGAATTCTAGCCTTAAAAATGGTGAAAATGGAATGTTCAATGTTATGTGTATTTTACTCAAAAAAAAAAAAATAGTACTAGAATCTTAGGAGTAATCAAGACCTCAGATCTCTTTTAGCCATGATATGTCTGATATTGGACATAGCAGGTTAACTAAAAAAAGGAAGAAAAAGTTGGACACTTAGAAACTAGTTCAAGGGGGGCTGGTGCTGTGGCGTAGTGGGCTAGGCATCCGCCTGCGGTGCTGGGCCCCTGCACCCATGTGGGAGACCTGGCAGAAGCTCCTGTGGCCATTTGGGGAGTGAATCAGCAGATGGAGGACCTTTCTTTCTGTCTCTCCCTCTGACTGTAGCTCAAATAAAAACAAATAAAATCAAAAGATAGGAAGGGAGGAAGGAAAGAAAAGAGAGAAACTTGCTCAAGGGACTGGCACTGTGTAGCAGGTTAAGCTGGTGCCTGCAATGCTGGCATCCCATATGGGCAGCGGTTGGGTCCTGGCTACACTGCTTCCCAGCCAGCTCCCTGCTACTGGCCTGGGAAAGCAGTGGCAGATGGTCCAACTGCTTGGGCCCCTGCACTCACATGGGAGACCTGGATGAGGCTCCTGGCTTCGGCCTGACCCAGCCCATTGTAGCCATTTGGGGGAGTGAACCAGTGGATGGAAACTCTCTCTCTTTGTCTCTCCTTCTTTTTCTCTCTGTAACTCTACCTTTCAAATAAATAAATAAATCTTTGAACAAAAAGAAACTAGCTCAAAAGAATAATTTAAGATTTTTCTCAGTTTAAAATTTCTTTAAAATTTTAATTTAAATTAGTTTTTAATAGTCAATGTGATTTGTAGAAACAATTCTAAGAACATAATGATTTCTCTAAGTTCTTTAGAAAATGTTTTTTTAAATTCCAGTTATCAAAAATACATGATTTTGCCAGCACCGCGGCTCACTAGGCTAATCCTCCGCCTTGCGGCGCCAGCACACCGGGTTCTAGTCCCGGTCAGGGTGCAGGATTCTGTCCTGGTTGCCCCTCTTCCAGGCCATCTCTCTGCTGTGGCCCAGGAAGGCAGTGAAGGATGGCCCAAGTACTTGGGCCCTGCACCCGCATGGGAGACCAGGAGAAGTACCTGGCTCCTGCCATCGGATCAGCGCGGTTGGAGGGTGAACCAACGGCAAAAGGAAGACTTTTCTCTCTGTCTCTCTCTCTCACTGTCCACTCTGCCTGTAAAAAACAAAAACAAAAACAAAAACATGATTTTGGGGCCAGCGCTGTGGCGTAACGGGTAAAGCCACTGCCTGCAGTGCTGGCATCCCATATGGGCACCAGTTTAAGTCCCTGCTACTCCACTTCCAATCCAGCTCTCTGCTATGGCCCGGGAAAGCAGTAGAAGATGGCCCAAGTCCTTGGGCCCCTGCACCCACATGGAGACCCGGAAGAAGCCCCTGGCTCCTGGCTTCGGATTGGTGCAGCTCCAGCCATTGTGACCATATGGAAAGTGAACCATCAGATGGAGGACCTCCCTCTCTCTCTGCCTCTCTGTAGGTCTGTCTTTCAAATAAATAAAATTACCTATTTTTCCATCACCTACAGCTCAGCTCAAAAAAAACCTGTCATCTGCCTGTGCTGTGCTCACTACATGCAGGGCATTCTTCTAGGTGTCCTACAGATCTTGACATTTAATCCTCATAATACTCTTATTAGAGAGATACTATTACCATTTCCACTTTACACATGAGAAAATTCGTGTGCAGGGCCACATACTGTGGCACAGAAAGTTAAACCACTGCCTGTGACTCCAGCATCCCAAGTGCCAATTTGAGCCCCCATTGCTCCCCTCCTGATCCAGCTCCCTGCTAATGTGCCTGGGAAAGCAGCAGATGATGGCCCAAGTCTGCAGGCCCCTGCCATCCACGTGGGAGACCCCGATAGAATTCCTGGTTCCTGGCTGTTGTGATTATCTGGTGAGTGAACCAGCAGATTCAGGATTTCTGTTTCTTCCTCTCTCTTTCACTCTGCCTTTCAAATAAATAAAAATAAATAAATCATGTTTTTAGAAAGGAAAATTGATGTGCAGAGACTTGCCTATGGCACACAGCTGAAAAGTACCAGAGTGAGCTGTTCAGACAGCCAGCAGTCTGTCTCTAGAATTTGCTGCTAATCATAAGTCATGAAGTTTTTTTTGCAAGATGGCAAACACATTGTAAATATTCAAAATATTGTATACTAGCCAAAGTTGTAATAGTTTTACAAAAATTTAAAAAGTAGGACCTTCTTTGTTCCTATTCCACAGTCTTCAATTCTTACCCCAATTTCCCCTTCCATTGATCTTTTTCATAATTTAATTTTGTTCTTTCCTTTTCCTTCACCTTTAAAAAATTTTTAGAAAAATTTATTTATTTAATTGAAATGCAGAGATAGAGAAAGAGAGAGAGATCATCCTACTTGATTCCACCAAAGCCAAGGCTGGGCCAAGTCCAAAACCAGGACCCTGGAACTCAATCCAGGTCTTTCCTGTGGCGGCAGGGATTAAACTACTTGACCCACCATGCCCCAGGGTACACATTAACAAGAATCTGGAACTGGGATTGGTGGTGCTGGGACATGAATCCAGGCCCTCCAATATGAATATATGTAGGCGTCCCAGGAGGCACCTTAATGGCTATGCTAAATGCCCACTCCTTTCCTCACTTCTACAACCAACCAAAGCTTAGAGGTTCAAACCTACTTGAGTCCACATAGTTTTGCTTGCTGCATTGATTATTAGGGACCTCCTCAAATTGCAAGCTTATTGTTCACACAGATGGAAGCCACAAGCAAAATCAATGTTTGACAACCTACAAGGTATCATTGATGACCAAATACTAGCAAAGGCAAACTGGTCTTTAATTAGTTCTCCTTTTCCAGGTTCCTAATAAGCCAGAAGTTGAATTTATCCACTTGAATACAAAAAAGGCATTTTTTGGCGGTTGCCTGCAAAATCAGAAATTCAGGTGCAGCACAAATGCGCCACCTAGTGTTCACATTACTGTATGGCATGTGAACTGAATGTATTTGGCAGCTCCCATACAGGTGGAGGAATTCTTTTTGATATGCGGATACTTCAAAGAGCTCCTGGGGAAATGGGATTAAATGATACATTTATTTCAGTTCCAAAAAATTTGAGGGGTGGACATTGTAGCACATTTTATAGGTCGCAATTTGGGACACCCATATCCCATATCTAAGTACCTGGTTTAAAGTCCTGGCTTTGCTTTCCATCCAGCGTCCTGCTAAAGCACACCTTGAGAGGCTACAGGG